TTTTTTTTTTTTTTTTTTTTTTTTTTTTTTTTTTTTTTTTTTTTTTTTTTTTGCTTGGCGATTGGTTTCTTTTGCTTTCTGCGATCAGCATTATCGGCGATAACATTAATGATTCAATTTCTCTGGTATCCATTTTAACTTTAAAGTAGTTCGTGTGTTGTTTTTTCCCTTGTCCAATTTCAATTTTATTTGAAGTTGCCTACAGCTCTTAACCTGGACGGTAATGATGTTCGACGATTGGATCATCTACTCTGTTGACGATTTTGGTTCTACATTGAAATGTTTGAATGAGTATTGATGAATGTATGCAAATGAATTGTCTTCATATCGCTTTGATCTTGATATCACGGACAGTTGATTTGTGTTTTCGTGTGCGAGAAGAAAAACCCGTTCTCAAAGAATTTCGGATTGTAGGGAATTTTAAGTTGTGGATATTTTGATGGAGCCAAGGGAACTGTTGGACAGCTTGTGATTTGTTTAGGATCTTGATTTTCCTTGTTGGTTGGGATAACATGACCTACCGACATGATTCTTATACAGCTCTCGTTGATTATTTTCCTCTAATTATGAGAAACAGGTCTCTTTTATCTAGAAATAAGTAATTGGTAAATGGATATCTAAGCTATTAAAATTTTGTTATTGTCATGATACGTTCGTTCTTTATGCAAGCTTAAAATTTTCTTGGTTCATTTTTTCTTGAGTCATGTGGATCTGAATCCTTCTATTACATATCTGGCAGAAAGCCTTGGCTGAAGCAAATAATGCAAAGTTGGCGGGCAATAAACTGTTTGGAGAAGGGAAATATGAGGAAGCAATAGTGGAGTATGATCGTGCTTTGAACATTGCTCCGGACATGCCCTCCGCAGCAGAGTTACGGTCCATATGCCATGCCAACCGAGGCGTGTGTTTTCTGAAACTAGTATGTCTTTGTTACATCTGAAATTGAAAAAGACTGCCATGTGTTTTCTTGTTTAGATATTTTTCTCCATTTTTTTTATGCATTACAGCCATATTCATATTTTTAATGTCTTTACGAATGTCACTAGAGGGTTACATGTCCAATTTTAGTGATCTATGCGATCTTACGGTAGCATACTTCAATTCTACACGGATATTGTTGTTAGTCCCCATTTCCGTTTTTGTTAATCTTGAGGCTATCATGAGTGGTTTCAATAATCACAACCCAGAAAGATAGTGATTTATTAAAATTCCCATTCATAAATATAGGAACATGTGTAGTTTGTGAAGACCTTGATTAATTTGGGGGATATGCTGTTTCTTTCTCTCTCCTCCATCTTTTAAATTGGAAACAGAAGCCTTTGAATGACCTGAAAATACAAATTTGAAATCACCTCTCCACGTGAAGGATTTAATTTTTTGTGATATCATGTGGTCATTCTTTCAGACTCGTTGTGTAGATTCTCTGGACTTTGCCGATTAATGCCTACTCTTCGGGCTAGAAAGGAATTGAAAACTCTTCATCGGGATAGATATAAGCTATTATTGTTTCCAGGATACTGTTAGAGGCTTCTTCTTGGGGGGTGATGGACAAAGATTTTTATAATTACTCTGTGATTTTTGACTTGGGGAGGTCGCATTAATGATTTCAATATCTAAGCTGAACCCATTAAAAATAAATACATAAATAAATTGAAGTCGGGAGGGCTATCGCATGAAAATTATGATCCTTCAAAAAGCCAAGGCCTTGAGGATTAATTTTTTCTGTTCACATGCCTCAAATTTCTCCTTTGTCACTAAATATTACTATTATGCATGTATATTTTAACTTCTTGGTTCATGCATCTGAATTTTGGCTGTCTTGTGAACTTAATTTGTTCGCTAAACACTATTTTGGTCTGATTGCTTCCATTTTTCAATTAAGATGGATTGAATCTAGACCTTTCTTGTGAGGTTTTGCTTTAAGTCCACATGCATTTTTTCTTCTCATCAGCAGGATAATGTATGTTTGTATCACGTAGTGATTATCTTGAACATAATTTGTTTTAAGGAAAAATATGACGAGACGATCAAAGCATGCTCAAAGGCAATTGAAATCAATCCTGCGTATGTCAAAGCTTTGTCTAGAAGAGGAGAGGCTCACGAGAATCTTGAACACTTTGAGGAGGCCATTCATGGTAAACTTTGCTTTGCTTATGTTACCTTAAAATGGTCAATCTTGCCTGCAGTTGTTTTCTTTAGAGCTTTCCATTTTGTTCTGGAACTGTTGTATTAATCTTCCTTCCAACATATATTTTATCTATTTACAGATATGAAAAAGATATTGGAATTGGACTCATCAAATGATCAAGCTAAGAAGGCCATCCGTCGCCTTGAACCATTAGCCGAACAAAAACGAGAAAAGATGAAAGAAGAGATGATTGGTACGCGGCATTATACTGTTTTAAAAGTCTTTTCGGTATCGTATTTCATTATTCTTTGTTTTAGAATCTGCTTCCCTACCGTTCAAAGATTAGCCACATGCATGTGAAGTAGTCGTTATTTCTCGATGGATGTTGCTATGCGCTAACAAAGAACCATGGCAGAGCCAATCGAGTTTTTTCATTCCAACTTTTTTACATATATAATCTTTATGTTAAACAAACTTTAAACTCGTAATTACTGCATTTTGTGCATTAAGCAACGTTTGAATCTAGACGAGTGAATACACATTGGATGTCGTTCGAACAATTACTTTGTCTTCCAAGTCGATATTTTTTGCCCCTATTCATGAATTTGCAATGCTTCTGTTTGAGCAGGAAAGTTAAAAGACATGGGCAATTCTTTGTTGGGTCGTTTTGGCATGAGCGTGGACAACTTCAAGGCTGTCAAAGACCCAAATACTGGTTCCTATTCGATTTCATTCCAACAATAGCTTGGCTTTACCCGATTTGTATTTACGACGACGATGGTAAGAGAATAGTATACGGAAAAATAATAAAAATCGATACCCGTTTGTACCGGGCGTTGTTCATTCCTGGATTTAATGAATATAATTGATGGTAGTGTTAAAATTTGGGGGTATAGTTTACTTGATCTTTCAGATGGTGGCAAATTGCTGCTGTGTTTCCCCTGCATGCTGCTTTATTTGTTGGTTGTACCTTATGATTGTAGACTTTGCTGATTTGTTTAGTTTAAGGGTGATTTGTGAGTTTCAGTAAAGTGCATTAATCAAGTTTAATTAGTGCAAATCTTGACTTATTAACATTAATGAATTCTTAGAGATTTTTACCTCAGATGAATTAGCAGTTGGAATAAAACTTAAAAATTACAATATTGATGAGTTTAAGAGATTAATTTATATGACACATTCCATCAAAGTGTTGGGTAAAAATTGGGACAAAATTGACCTTCTTCTCAATAACATTTATTTTAATATAGATAGAAAATACATATATTAAGCAGCTGTGGGAATTAGGCAAATACTACCTGTTTATGCGGGAATTGGGCAGGGACGGGAATAGGGAATATAATAATGTCCCGACTCGTTTATCTAACGAGGAAAATATTTCCCTGTCCCGGCTCGTTTATGCGGGAATTGGACAAGGACGGAGAGGTTTCCCGACTCGTTTATCTAACAGGGAAGACTGTTTTCCACTCCCTCCATTTCCCTCTCCCCTTTCGGACATCTCTATAAATAATTAAAATAAAGACCGAAAAAGAATCATCACAAATACCCTAATTTAAACTAAAAAAAAATCAACCATTCCTTCCTACAAATTTATAATATATATATTTTTTTTCCTCAAAATTATGACTCAAAGTTTTAGGGTCAATTTTTTTTATATATATATTAAAAATGCATATTAATATAAACTCAATTTCTAACCTCGATTTTTTTTATATATTAAAATTGCATATTAATACAAACTCAATTTCTCATCTCGAACCTCGTTAAAATAGGTAGGTCATAGAGTCAATGGATAATTCCACTATTTTTTTTTATTGCTATATAACCTACCTACCTTAATAAGCAAGTATTAGAATATAGATTGAAACAATGAACGAGAGACGAATTAAAAGAGGGAGATAATGAATTGTCGATAAACAATATAGTTTTTTTTTTAATTTTTTATTTATTTAAAAGTTAAGGGTACTAATGTAATTTTAAAAAATTTAAACATTTTTTTTATAATTTTTATAAAAGTTCTCATTTGAAGAAAGTAGTTAGGATTATTATTTATATATAATTTGAAGGTTTTTTTTTTAAAAAAAATAATTTCTTAAAAATTTTATTTCATTTTTTTAATAGCAGATTAGGATTCGACCACCCCCGGTTTACACGCGAAGCCGAAATCAGAGGCCTCATTGTTCTTTCCTCCTCTTCGGATCATTCAGACACCCTGCCATAACTGAGCAAGATTTTGCTGCAATTTCACCAAACAATTTCGGAATCGAGCCGACATAGATGGCAAACCAAGGAGCAAAGAAGCGCAAGGAAGAGAACGCTCGTCATATGGCGAATCTCCGTCGTCTCATCATAGCCTGTAACGTACGCATTTCTATTCGATAGTTTCTCTTCAATTTTCTTCACTCTTACATCCGTCCTTAGTGATTTAGTATTCATGTTCATCCTTGACTTTACTTGTTCGAAGATTTCTGGAGTTCTAACCTGAAGTAGTCAAAATCAATCGATTTTTCCTTTGGATCATGTGTTTTTCTTTTGGAGATTTGACTTGGAATTCCGAGATGGAACTCGTTGTAGGATGATGTGCTTTTTCGTAATGAAGCAACGATTGATTGTGTTGCAATGTTAATAATTGAATATTTTTGTTATAAAATTTTCTGGAGCTCCTTCTCGAAATAATCAAAATCGATCGATTTTTGTTTGTTCTTCGCACCTTACGTTTCGTTTTCTTAAATTGACTTGGAATTCCGAGCTGGAAATAATTGTAGGATGTGGTGCATGTTTCATAAACAAACAACAAACTGTTACGTCCTATGTCCATCTGCTGAAAGTTTTAATTTAACATATTAATTTCTAATACTATGATTCTGTTGGAAACAAAAAATGAAGATAGTTTTTATTTGTTTATTTTTTCTCTTCGGTAACAATCCCCAAATGTATGTTCTCCAAATCAGATTATTGTAAATTAAAGTCTGGCAGGTATCAACAAATGTGCACGAGAAACTTATGAATGTAAGGTCGAGGAAGATCTTTTGTGATTTCTTCTGAGCAATATGAGATGACCAAAAGTTGAAGGATGGAGAATTAGTTTAGATTTTTTATGTTTCATGCACTAAGTTCAGAGTTTGTTTAGTATGGTAAATTCTTGTTCTGGATTACTAATTTTGATCCTAAGAGTTGTCAAAGGAATAAGCACCCTTCTGAGCATATCCCGATGCTTCATCATATCATTTATTTTTACCGTAACCATGATTTGTAAAGCGTAGGAGCGCCCGTGTGGCTTAGTGGAACTGGTATGACTTCAGTGTTATGCTGTTTACTGTGTGTAACTTGTTTGTGCAGGTTATCTATATCTTGGTTCGAATGCTGATTTTTCATTCAAGTTTCACTTGGAAACACTGGGTTGGTCTGATTGTCACATCCGCAGCTTATTTTATTCCTTACAACCAACTTGCCAAAATGGCAGACCCAACATATGGTGATGACGGTGAACTTCTAGATGGTGGGTTTGATATGAGTACTGGTGGAATTTGTGGGTATGTCCTCTGTCTTCTTAATGTATGTCATTACATGTCAGTTTCATGCATGTTTTTGTCTTCTTGATATAGAGTATAATTGTTGAATACAGACCTGACATATTTAATTGTTCTGTAACCCAAGTTTAAATGAACCGTAGCTCTGAAACTTGCTAAGACTTGGTATGATATTGTTCACCGTGGATCAAATTTCTTGAGGAAGATGAAGCTATTTTTTTCTGGTTGTCATCCCAAAATTCAGTATTAAATGCTTGAAATGGAAGTGAATAGTGATGTGCTAATCGGATTCATTGATTCACCGAGGATAACATGAAGCTATTTTTTCTGGTTGTCATCCCAAAATTCAGTATTAAATGCTTGAAATGGAGGTGAATAGTGATGTGCTAATCGGATTCACTGATTCACAGAGGATAATATGTCACACAATCAATTGATTAAAAACACATCAGATGACTGCAATTTCAGCTCAAGTAACCCGAGGGAATTCTCATTTCTTCCCACGCTTCTTAAGCCTAGCATCTCCAAGGGTCCCCTTCTGTTGGGCCTTTGCTCTAAACTCCCTGAGCGTCTTTTCCTCTTCCTTCATCTTTTGAATTTTGGCCATATCAACCTCGTTGTAATCTTTCTTCTCAACCTTGAGTTTGCTTTCCTTCCTAGCTTGTATGACATGGCTGAGATGTTGCTAGGGATGCTCATGCGCGGCAATTGATGGCTTGATTCACTGATATACAACTGCGGGATATTATTCTATTTCAGTTCACTCTCTGGATATAATTTCCTTTCCTCCTGGATGTTATGACTTAAATTGACTTTCATTTATAGCATTGTAAATTGATATGTAGTATACTTGTCATTTGGCTTAATAATTCTGGATATGGGCGATGCACATAAATATCACGGTTGTTTGGTCTATCGCTTTACTGGGTTATTTTTAAATTTTCTTCCTTGAGAAAATTCCACATTAGATCTAAACATCTAAGCAAGCTTGAAACTTAGAAGGGTATTGGGTTAAATTTTTTTTTGGAAATGGCCCTGCTCCACTGATTACTTTTGATCAATTGATGTGTTACTTGCATCCTCAAAGTGACAATAAAATCCATTGCTAACCCTTTTTACCGTACATAATATTAAGAGATTCTGTAGAAGGTTTTTTCCGTCCGGTCATAAAGGTGGTGGAGGTTGGTGGACTTGGGATACTATAGAGATTGAGTTAAAATTATTTTAATCAGGCGGTTCTAGTTTTTAAGATGACAAATAGTCAGTGTTGTAAACATGGCAAAATTTAACTTTATCTCTGAATTGAAAATGTGTTACATTTTCAAGTAGCACTGCCTTTTCCTCTGAAAGAAGGGCAGGAAGTTCAATGACTGAAATACAATGTAATGCAGGCTGGGTCGCATTTAAGGCCATCTATCTCGTAACTTGTTGTTTCTTGTGTGCTTTGGTAATTTATATGGTAATTTCTTTGGGATTCCAACTTGGAAAATCTCATTATAGCAAAATGAGCTTTGTTTTTTTTATTAGACAGATAAAGGGATTGACTTCAAAGTTAGATCAATTATTAACCGATATGTTCATATGGCTACAAGTTCTTTGAAACCTCACGGCACTGACATTGAGTGAAAGATTCACCTAGAACAGTTACCGCTGCCGTAGTGAGAATTGGATTGACAGAACTGGTCTCGGAGGCTTTTCATCCATAAACAGTTTCTTGGCATTTCAGTAAGTAATTTAAACATCTTTGATGGGTTGCCTTGTTCTTTGCAGCTACATGCATGACGTGATCTACATTACGAGCTTTGTGCAGATAATGTCAATCCTCTCTGGGAAGTTTTGGTACACCTACCTTGTGGTAAGGTCCAAATACTTTTGAAATTGAACTTGGACATATTTAGTGTAATATATAGCCTAGGAACAACCCTGATATTTGGGTGTGAAATAATGTCATTGATATATCTTTCTGAAATGACTTTAATTGTACATCTAAACATTATTTTCATTATTACCTATATTAACAAATGTTCATGCATCTGGTAGAAAGTTCAAAATACTTCGTGGGCGACCAACAAGTTAAAATAGGCACATCTAACTCTGTTTGATGTTCATTTTTCTGTTGCTCTGCAGATTCCAGCATTTGGGGTATACAAATCTTCTGGTTTAATTAAGAGTTTATTGTCGCACGGTTCAGAGGTAATCTATCCTCACCAAACAAGATTTCCTGTATTTTAAACACGGCCCAGTCTTCTCTTTTCATTTAGGCGTGTACTCGTGTGTGTCGTTTAGGATGAACCTGAGGATGAGAAGACTCGCAAGAAGAGGGAAAAGATGGAGAAGAAAGCTTCAAGAGTGAAGTTTATGAAAACCAAGAATAGATAATCTTCTCTTCTAAATTAAACGGAATCAACTTAAGTAATGAGATGCAAATTTGAGCAGATGGACAGCAGACACAGTCAAGTTATAGGTACCATTTGAAGTTAGTTTGTGTATTTTTCTGACTAATTATAACAGGAAAATAAGGGGCAGAAGTATATCACTGTAACCTCCATTCTGTCAACTGAGCTTTTAGAAGTCCCTGTTTCCTCTTTCAAAATGACATCACAGGTACACAACTTTTGCAGCTTTGGTTTCCTTTAGAACAGACAGATCTAGGAGAGGGATATCAAAGCAATAGCTTTAATCTCTTTTAAATTTATTTCTACACATTTTTGCTTCTCAATTCCAAGTTTTGGTCCCTTGATATTTGGACAATCTAAACAATGTAAAGCTCAACCACAGTAAGATCCCACGTTGATTGGGGAGGAGAACAAAACATTCTTTATAAGGGTGTGGAAACCTCTCCCTAGCAAACGTGTTTTAAAACTTTGAGGGGAAGTTCGAAAGGGAAAGCCCAAAGATGATAATATCTCCTAGCAGTGAACATGAGTTGTTACAATCATCTTACCTTTAGCATTTGCTTCCTTTCATTGAAAATTAATCGTTATGGAGGTGACAACTCGGTTGTGGCTCCGTGCTCCCCGCTCTCCAAAAGATATGAGATTATAATTTGATTTTGTTATTTAGCACAGGTAGATAAGGCTTTATGCTCTTGAATAAAGGAGGTTAGGCTTCTTAAGATTCCACACAAATTGCAGGGACCATTTGATTATTATCTAGTTTGATTTTGTTGGAGTTATTTTTAAAAGGCTTTTGAACCTTAAGGGGGCTAGATTTGGGATATGATTTTCGGAAAATATGTTTTCTAACGAATATACTTGTTGAATAAAACACATTACTAAGAGCATTAATCAAGCTTTTTTTTCTTTTCAAAATCATGTGTTTATCTAATTACACATTATGAAAATCTGAAAGATACATTTCATGCACTATTACTTCTATAAATTTAAATTATGAACGTTCGTTCGTCGAATCAAATATTCGAATCAATTAGAATATTTGTTAGTGGTTTTTAACTATTTTTACGTTCACAATTACTTCAATAATAATAAAAAATAAAAATAAAAAACACAATGCTTTCTAAGTAACTTGTTTGTTTGGTTATTTCATTTCTTTACAATTTACATTACTTTTTACATTTTAAAAGTCTTATACACGTGAAAGAAGGTCTAAATTGGTCGGAGTTATAAAAATGATCGATGCAACCTTGAAATTTTGTATAAATTTATTTTCTTTTTCTCATTTAAATTACATCTACACTTTCTGAGTAGCTGTATATTAATTTGAAGAGAGAGAGAGAGAAAAAAAAAAAAAACAAAGCAATGTATACTCACACCTCTTTTATTAAAAATCATGTATTTATCTAATTAGACATTATGACATAGCTCAATTTGAATTTCTAAATGCACAAACATGGTTTGATCAAGTCCTTTTGCCCACCCTACCTAAATACAAGATTTTTGTATATATTAAAGAAAAAAACTCAAGCATATTACAATTTATGAACAATTTTGAACAAGATTTCAGTAACACCACAAATGAGTCATTTAAGTAGGAAGTGGTGGAAGAACATAAAATAATCAATAACTTATTGAAGAAAATAAGAACATAAATGGCATGACTATAGGGACTCTAATTAACAAACTCCCCAAATTCTACGGTTGTATTTTCTTTTTCTATTTACGGAACTGCCTACAATTTGTGCCAGAGAATAAAAGTGAGGGAGTTTTTATTTTCTTCAATAGGTTGGTTGACTGGAAGCATTTAAGGTCATAATGGATAACCTTTCTGAAAGTAAATGAACTTTCTTGGCTTCCATGGAGGAAACGAACTCATAACCTAACGTCGTTATTGGCAATCGCAGTCAAGAGATTGAATTCACAGTCCAAACTTCTCGAGAACTCGTTCTGGTTACTGAGACTTAAGTTGTACTCCTGGAAGTAACCATTGTAGGTTATGATTGCTAGTGTGGCCCTGTATCAAAATCCAAAATGAAATGAGAAAGAACTTACTCATTTCTAGAAAACATACTTCACTGAGTTTGTTTATGGGTCAAAAATCAGATTCTACTGAATCGTGATTTCAAATACTCTTTTGTAAGCAATGAACAAGCCCTAGAGTTCTAGAATGCAAGGTAAGCTATTCATTGCAGGGAAACTACCTACATGCAAATTGGCTGGCATTTCACAAAAAGGCAGTCGTCTTTGATTTAGGATTTCTTTATTGGTTAGACATTGGTGCTAAAGGTGTAAAGGAACCTGTGGGATTTCCTATAGAAGGTGTCAGAGGATGGAATACTAGCTTGTAAATTTGGAGATAATGTACCGTCCTTTTGACCTTGAGACTTCATAATGCAACCTTGTGAGATTCCACATCGGTTGGGAAGGAGAATGAAGCATTCTTTATGAGGGTGTGGATAACTCTCCCTAGCACACGCATTTTAAAATCTTGAGGGGAAGCCTAAAAGGGAAAGTCCAAAGAGGACAATATCAACTAGTGGTGGGCTTGGACTGTAACAAATGGTATCAGAGCTAGACACCGGGCGATGTGCCAGCGAGGAGGCTGAGGCCCGAAGGGAAGTAGACACGAGGCAGTGTGCCAACAATGACGCTAGGCCCAGAAGGGAGGTGATTGGGGGGTGCCACATCAATTGGAGAAGGAAACGAGTACCAGCGTCTAGCAAGGACGCTAGACCTCGAAGGGGAGTGGATTGTGAGATCCCACGTCGGTTGGGGAGAAGAACGAAGCATTTTTTATTAGAGTGTGGAAACCTCTCTCTAACATACGCATTTTAAAAACCTTGAGGATACGTTTGAAAGAGAAAGCCCAAAGATGACAATTTCTACTAGCGGTGGGCTTGGGTTTGGTTTGCAAAACGGGTGTGGCAGTTCTCTTAGGAGTATGATGCTCTGGGACTTGGGATTATAATGAGCCCTCGCCTAATCAAATGGGTTTCACTTGGTGGGAATTAAGGAACTTATTCTAGGAAGACCATTTCATCAGGCGTTCTATCTTTCTCCATGTGGTTATCTTTTCTCTTATTCTCAACAATTGGAGTTTTTTTTTTTCTTAACATTATTTTTTTTGTGTTAGGCCTTTTGTAACGCCCATTTGTACATGATCTGAAAACACGTTTGAAGAAAATGGAAGGAAAAGTTACAGAACGGGGAGCACTCAAGGCTTGCAAATCACGAATTATAAACAACTCACCTGCAAGCTACAATTTCAGAACTTGAAGTATCGGCAACCCTATCAACCTTGCGTATCACTGCATAGCTGCAAAACAACACTTCATAAGCTTGATAGCAAAGTTGCTAAATTTGGATTTTTTTTAGCAAAAGCTAAGAATCTTCTGCACACTAGGATGATTCTATAAAAGAAGGCTACAAATGCCATGTCAAAGAAGTTATTGAATGAGAACTTTGCTGACTTGAATGAATGATTAGATATTACCAGAAAATTATCTCAATTAACATGTCATACCTTTTAATTCCTGCTGGTACAGCATTATGAACAATGTGATGGTGCGCTGGATCCAGTGCATCACTTATGGAGTCGAGCATTATCGATCCAAGAAAGCCACCTGATCTTCTGCTGCGTCAACAGGAAAGGAACCAGATAAAATCAAGCTAATCAGCAGAGGAGCAATCAGATCATCCCTGAAATCTCCATGGCAAAAAATTTATTGCTAACAAAAGATGAAAGAGAGTGGATCACTTCCATGTTTATGAAATAACATGAAGACCTTACAGAAAGAAAGAGGGAAGATTTGGGTATTGGAAGAACTTAAGGGCTTTGAATTACTTTAGTAAGCTGAGATGCATTCTAGAAGCAAGATACTACAGAACAAAATATCTGCACTGAATATATACAAAACACAAACATGATCTGAACACCCCATATGATTAGGAATAGGAAGTCTAAAATTTTTCCCCCAAGTTATAGGGATGTCCAAACACATGATGTACATGCCGAGATGCATTATAGTAGACAATTTTTTTAAAAACTAAAAAATATTAAATGTCATAGATGTATAAAATTGATACATTTTTAAATTAAAATAATATATTTTGAATACACCTTGATTACAATGTGCTCATATCTACATTTCTTAGTTGACATAACCCCTCCCAAACGTCATTAGCTTTCTGGAGTCGAATTTCTGTCAATGCATGAAAATTGTAATCATAACTTCACAATTCTTTTCATCTAACGTTCTATGACATTACAGTTTCTTTTCTTTCATTATTTCTAGTCCCTAGAAAATATGGGGAAATCTATCTTGCACTTCATTATCGGATTAAAGATCCAACAGACTGAAAAACTATATATTGTCGACAACCTTAAAGTTTTGTGATGAAATATAAAAAAGAATGAAGTAATAAAGAAAGAGAATCAGAGGTGTGTCAGTATTTGAAAGATTAGGAAAATACAAATATCAGGAACATGATGAATAATGCATATTGATGGTTCACCAGAATACCCATGAAGCAGAACAGATGTGCCTAAAACTAAAACCTAGTCGTAAAGATTGTCAATTAAAGAATCCCACAAGCATGATTTCAATACCCATACAACATTGCGTAAAAAAAATAATTATCCTTCCTTTCTGGATCTCTGACAGAAAAAACAGATGCATGATAGTCACCTTTGGTTTATAGCAAATCCCAGAGGAAAAACATGAACAGAACCAGAGGAACTAGTTGCCACCAGAATTTCCGGAACTTGAGAACATTGCCCAAAGGACAATGAAAATATAGTTGATGGATATGATCCTCTCCGGAAACTATATGACTGCCAAAAAATTTGAGTTAGGTACCATCTAAATAAGGAAAATGAAAAGAAAAAACGACGAAAGCCAAAGATTCAAAGAGACAGACTGAACAAAACCAAAAAGTAATTCACTGCTTTCAAGATGAATAAGCTCGACTAATCAACAAATGCGCAAGTATCAATAGTTTTCAATGTCTCAAAAGGTGTAGTCTTAACATTCAATGCTATTAATAAGAAACCAATTTTGCTCCAATAAATTTCCCAGGCAGATAAGTATAGTTGTTCTGACCAGTCCAAAAACCATAGGAGAAGTTTTGGATAGGATGGTAAAAACCCGTTTATGATCATGATTTTAATAACATTCAAAGCATCTCACATGGTGAGTAGAAAATAACCAATATAAATGTAGGAGAGACTTTTTCCACCTTAGTTGCTTCCGATACCAGATGCACTCTAATCATAGTTCCTTGTTCTGATGCTGTTGCTATGTACATCCCATTTGAAGAAAGGACCATTGTGGACAGCGGTGCAAGATGAGCATCTATCTGCAATTAAATTTCCGCAAACAATAAGCTAAAATTACAATGGATTAAAAAACAAATGTAGTCAATTAAAAAGGATAAATTGCATAAATCATGGTCAATAAATAGAACCCAAATCACGAGTATTGGAAAGATAAAAAAACTGAAACCGTCAATAATGTTTGATTGTAACTAAGAGTGTCACAGTACAGACTAGATGATGCCTGTTCCCAGATCTTCCTAAACGAGTGTGCAATTTTAGCCACACTCACAGATGCACATTTCACTAGGATCTACAAACCTCGCATTACTAACCATGGAAATTTCTTTATTCCAAAAAAAAAAAAAAAAACAACCATGGCAATTTCTAAAAAGTACAGATCATGTCGGACAACAATTTATACTTTTATCCTATATCTTTTTCTTCCTTCCCAAAAACAAGGAAAGTTAAAACCCAAACCTCGCAGTGTAACTGAAGCTCCATGACATTGTACAGTAACAGAGATCCCTTAGTGATGCTGGCTGGAAGAGCTAAGAAGCAACCATCCAAACTGGGGGAGAACGCACAGATTCCTAAGAATTTTAATTTTTGGAAAAGAACCGTCAGTCACTTATCAAGATTTTGTTACTCACACATCAGAATCAAAACCCAACTTATAAAGCATGTAAGATTTGGGTCAACTTATTAAGCATGTAAGCCTTTTCTCGACTGTGTATACGGCAGTAATGAACCATAAAAGTATAAAAATGACAGTTAAAAGTTCTTTACCAAGTTCAAGCACTGGAATGAGCAAATGACAGTTCTTGAATAGAACAGCAATGTAAAGAAATGCAAGAAACTTTGCCAAAACTCTCTAGCATGAACATATTATGCAAGACATAGCAAGTACAAACAGGAATATATACCAACCTGACCTTTCAAATTTGGTACTGTATCAATCGTGTCCAAGATTGTGAGACTATTTATGTCGTATATGTATGTCTTATCTTGCAGTAGTACAATAAGTCTGCATTTTCCATCCAATCAGAGAGTCAGTACAGCTTAAAAGACTGGTAGAAATACAAAAAATAATAATAATAAATAAATAAATAAAATATAAGTTCCTATTATATTTATGAAATTAACTTTTTTTGGGAGGAGAAACAAATTCGATTGATAAATGAAATGAAGGAAGCATAAAAGATTCCCGACACCTATGGATGAGTTGCAAAAAATCTTGCTAATTGAAATCAAAGATGAAAGAATAATCTCAAAAAAGGTGTTTACGCTTACACCAGCACAATGCATAAAAGAAAATAAAATCCAAAAAGCTATCAAAAGATGACAAAACGTCCCTGAAAATTCTTGCATTCTTTTCACACCATAGATACCAGATTATTATTTCAAAAACTGACACAATTATTCTCAACCTTACTTGAAAATAAAAGTTACCGATGCTTGTAAAGTTCAGTCTGTTAATGGTCTAGACGAATGAATTCCTCCTCTCTGAAAAAGGAAGGGTCTAATGCAGCCACCATTTCCAAAAACGAACTTCCTTCTAGTAAATCAAGTATGTTTGATGGTTTTAGTTTTGCTTAAAAGATAGGTACTCTTTTTTTCTTTCAATAATAGGCCACTAAAATTCGATTTCCAATTATAAGAAAGAGTCTAAAAGTATACCAGATCACATAAAAACCTCATTTAGCCAAGTTGAAGGTTGTTTGTATATTTTAGCCACTTCCATCAAGAAGAACGCATGTACAACCAAAAAGAAGGAAAACACGAACTAAACCCAAGAATTGAAGCCACCAAAAAGGAAATTACAGGATATTGCTCAAAAGCTAATTGTAGGAGAAAGATGATAACCAAAATGTCGAAAACATCTTATACCCTTAAATTAAATAATAGAAAGATGGTTTCTTGGATTCAACGGGCTTGATACATAGTTACTAGATTTGAAAGGTAGGTAAAATAGTCAATGGTCAATATATAGAAAATGTCAAAAATATCTAAGATGTATGGATCAATTATTTATTAGTATTCACGTCATCTAGCCTAGCTTCATTTCTCAAGTTCATTTATAAAATTATGTCAACTACAAATTAGCATACAAGCTGCCTCTGATACCAATTTGTTCAAGTTACCAACTTAACATCAGAAGTTCCATAACAAAAGCAAATTTATATGATATAAAATATAATAAAAAATTGTGTTTACCATATACTAATGGAAATGTAGCTTCTTGTAAAAATAAATAAATAATTTTATCACACATCATACATCATTACCATTTTTAAAAATAATGCATCTTAATAGCTAGATTTTTTTTCCTTTACCTTTTCCTATTCATGCGAACAGCTAGTATTGAAGTTAAGAAATTCAGTTCTCTAAGGGCATTTCCACTCATTGTATTAAACAAGCAAAGACGACGTGGGGATAAAGATGGCTGTGGACAATCAAGGAAAAATATACTTCAATTAGCAACCAGATGCATAAAATGTGAGATACCGCATGTTACAATAGATAATTATTGAATTGTAGCTATAATCAACTTCCAAATCACCTGTTCACCAGCTCCAACAATGGCAACAAGATTAGAGCTAAACAGCATCTCAACAATATTGAATGCACCAAGAGCTAGCAAGAAAGAATGTGAAAGTTTTAGATCAAACACAGAAGGTGAACTCAAGAGCTTCATACTTCCAAATACTAAAAAGTAAAAAATCAACATAAATCAAAACTTTCAAGTTCATTCTTTTCTAAATAAAAAACTGTCAACTTGATTGCAAAAACAAAGAGTCTCATGACAATAGATAAAAACTCGTTAAAGAAAAATCAAATTTATTTTTACCTGAACACAAAATCGAATAATGTGCCCTCCCATCTGTCTACTTATATGTGTAAAACATAGAGAAAAGATACCGAGAACTAAATTATTTTGCAAACTTGCAACATTTCTGATTCCATGCCTTAATAGTAACTCTTCATTAATTAGTATCTGGCTGTAGACATGTTTTGTGCATGAAAACGATTTCATACAAATACTTCATCATAATTTTTTGGAGTTATCTATAAACATCTCTGAACTAAATATATAATTTAAAAAACGTTGCCATTTGTCAGGACAAATCAAGGGTCCAGCAAGAACTCCACTTCAATCAACAAGTCTAAGTATCTTACTACAAAAATTACCAAGCCAGAGTATGTTGCATACCTAGTCATTTTAGATAAGCACAAGGGAAATATATAGCACAATACAATTAAAAAAAAAAAAAAAATCGTTAAAGTTTTTCATTATTTATTATTATTAGTATTATTTGTTATTTGATTCATCATTAAAGCAGCTGACAAAATCAAAATTATAAAATTAAAAAAAGAAAAAAAAAAAGAATCTAGTTCAAAAGCATACCTCGTTCATAGCAGAGCCTTCCGTTATTGGAATCAAAAATTCGGAAACCATCTCTTGTGCCTATTGCAAATAAACTGCCAATTCCAACCAAACCAATATCTTAGATTTTTATCTATTTATTTATTTATTATTATTTGCTTCTAGTTCTTCAAAGCATGGGGTGATCACTTGTCGAGGATATTGAGACAAAAAAAAAAAAAAAAAAAAAAAAAA